GGACTGGGGAACTGGGGAGGGGGGAGAGAAGGAGGGCCGCCACCATCTGGCTTTTGGGTCAGGGGGGGATCTTCGCTTGGGAAGGACAACAGACCCCTCTGGGCTGCACAATGGGACCATCTAGGCAGAAGCATGGATGGATGGATGGATGGATGGATGGATGGATGGATGGATGGATGGATCGAGATAGATAGATAGACAGACAGACAGACAGACAGACAGATAGATTTACAGGGTTGGTTGGTTGGTTGGTTGGTTGGATGGATGGATGGATGGATGGATGGAGATAGATAGATAGATAGATAGACAGACAGACAGACAGACAGACAGACAGACAGACAGACAGACAGATTTACAGGGTTGGTTGGTTGGTTGGATGGATGGGTGGATGATATGTGTGTGTGTGTGTGTAGATCTTTGGTTATTCAGGTTTTCTCCCATGTAAAATTGGAAGTGTCTTGGTGACGTTTCGATGAAGTCTCATTCGTCAGGCTGGTGTTTTTGGCTTCGTGCTTCTAGGAGCAATGTGTGATCGCAGCTGTTTCTTCCTTTTAACTGCCAGTGGGGGTGTGAACTGTTTGGGTGGGAGCTTGGCTGTGTTCTGATTGGGTGGAGGTGTGTTCTGATTGGTTGGGGGTTTGGCTGTGCTCTGATTGGATGAGGGTTGGCTGTGCTCTGATTGGATGGGGGTGTGTTCTGTTTGGGTGGGGGCTTGGTTGTGCTCGGGTTAGTCTAAGTTGCAGGAGGATTTGAGCTGGTGAGCTGTGTTGCTGTTGTTTGGCTTCGCGTTCATGGTCGTGCGACATCTTCATGGTGGGTGTCAGTTTGCTTCATGTATGGATTGGAGAGGTTTAAACTGGCTAATGATGCAGCTGTGGTCTAGCTTCTGGTTTGTGGTCATGCCTCATCATCGCTGTGGGTTTGAGTTTGCTTTTTGCGTGGATGTGACACCCCCACTGGCAGTTAAAAGGAGTTAAAACCCGATCTACATACAAACACCCGTGAAAGCCTAAGAAAACAAATATATGTGTATATGTGTGTGTGTGTGTGTGTGTGTGTGTGTGTGTGTGTATAGAGAGAGAGGGAGAAAGAGAGAGAGGAGGGAAGGAGGGAGGGAGGGAGGGAGAGAGGGAGAGAGATCTACAGGGATGGATGGATGGATGGATATATATAGAGAGAGAGAGAGAAAGAAAGAGATCTATAGGGATGGATGGATGGATTGACAGATGGACGGACGGATGGACGGATGGACAGACAGACGGATGGATGGATGGATGGATAGATAGATGATAGATGAGAGGAATAGATGAGAGATGGATACAGATATGGATGGAC